AGGTCCCAAGAACATTTTGTTGTGAAGGTTGGAATGCGCTCATTTATTCTGCAATTCAAGTAAGATATTTCTTTAGAGAAGGTACTCCAAATTGAACATCCATTCAAAAGCTATGAAAGATATTGTTATCCATGGTCCATTACCTGTGAAGCATCAGTATTATTTCTCATTGCTGCCCAAGTGCAGGGCTCACTTGCATTGACGGGCCTGTTATTGTAGGAAGAAGGAAAGAAGGGTAGTTACATTTTATTATTGTAGAATTTAGATAAAGGGTTCAGAATGTGGCGACGGCCAGTAGAGACAAGAGAAATCTAGACTATTTGCTCTAATTCTGCCCAACTAAAAACAAGGCGGCGTAATTTGGAAATGTTGTCATTTATTGACACTCTTCCAACATCTGGGATTTGAGCAGGAGACTCCCATTGCACAGGTAACTCCCAGTGGTTTGGGTGGAAATTACCTGCATAACCAACTCTCCTGCCCACACACAATGCCAGATACCTGAGAGCATTTTTAATTGCACTGTGCCTCCCTTTGCAAAAGAGCTGATTGCGTCTGCTTCCCTTTCCTTTAGGTACCCAAGCGAGGACAGGAATAATGAAGGGATGCGTGTGTTAGCTGCAGCCCTGTGAACTACGCGGGAAGGAAGTCAACAGTGTGGACAGAGCTGGGGCCGTCACCACGCTTGCCTGTTGGAATAAATGAGGAATGGGCTTGTGATTATGCTGACATTCCAGCATGAATCTGGTAGACCTGTGGTTAACCCGTTCCCTCTCCATGTGTCTCCTCCTCCAAAGTTTTGTTCTTATGATACTGTGCTTCCATTCTGCCAGTATGTGTCCCAAGGGCTGTCTTTGTTCTTCCTCTGGGGGTTTAAACGTCACCTGTAGCAATGCAAATCTCAAGGAAATACCTAGAGATCTTCCTCCTGAAACAGTCTTACTGTATCTGGACTCCAATCAGATCACATCTATCCCCAATGAGATTTTTAAGGACCTCCATCAGCTAAGGGTTCTCAACCTGTCCAAGAACGGCATTGAGTTTATTGATGAGCACGCCTTCAAAGGAGTCGCCGAAACTCTGCAGACTCTGGACTTGTCTGACAACCGGATTCAGAGCGTGCACAAAAATGCCTTCAATAACTTGAAGGCCAGGGCCCGAATCGCTAACAACCCCTGGCACTGTGACTGTACCCTGCAGCAGGTTCTGAGGAGCATGGCGTCCAACCACGAGACCGCCCATAACGTGATCTGCAAGACTTCCGTGCTGGACGAGCACGCCGGCAGACCGTTCCTCAATGCTGCCAATGATGCTGACCTCTGTAACCTCCCTAAGAAAACGACTGATTATGCCATGCTGGTCACCATGTTTGGCTGGTTCACCATGGTGATCTCCTACGTGGTGTATTACGTGAGGCAAAACCAGGAGGATGCACGAAGACACCTTGAGTACTTGAAATCCCTGCCGAGCAGGCAAAAGAAGGCAGATGAACCCGATGACATTAGCACCGTGGTGTAGTGTCCACACCGACTGGCACTGACCAAGAAATCCCTTTGCAACTGCAGTAGAATAAGTGGTTTAATTCTCTCATCCATTGTAAACATTTAAAACTTTGTCTCTCGGTTTCTTCCGAATTATGCCACTGTTGAACTTTTAACAAACATGACAACCTAACAAATCATTTTAGTTTAGGTGACCCACCCCTTAATTGTACCCCTGGTGGTATATTCCTGAGTAAGCTACTCTCTCTCGACGTTAGTTAGATCCATCTCACTATTTAATAATGAAATTTATTTTTTTAATTTGAAACCAAATAAAAGCTTAACTTTGAACCATGGAAAACAGAGTGACTTATTGGTCAAGAGAACAGTATGGTCATTCCATTGCTTTACAGAGGAACAGATGACCCTTGTGAACCTAACAGCTATCACAATGAAAGATGTTATTAAGCTCTACTGTACACTGGGGAGCCGTGGCTGGATTACCAGCCAGGTTAAAGATCTGTCAGACTTCAGAATACTAAGCCTTAGCAAACGCAGGTGATACACATGGTGTGGCATCCCGCAGAGGCTGAAGCTGGGCTGCCTCTAGGTGTTTGCCATCCGGAAGTCGGTGTGTTCAGCTAAACACGCCCCTTCTACTCTATATTAGACACATGGAAAAGAAAAACAGCCCATATTCTGTCCTCAAGATCACCTGCTGGTGGACAGAGATGTG